CAGACTGTTCCTCCCAAGGACAAAAGCAGGCTGCTGTCTTGCTGGCCAGCTAGGTTTCCTTCCTTGTATCCTGTGAAGTATAAATCTGATGCCAAGTGCCCTATGGGTGCCTCGAGAGTGTGGATGTGGAGTTGGACCCAAAGAGCCCTTCTGTCCTCAATGGGATTGTCAAATATGTAATCAGAATAAAAATAAATAAAAACTGTTAGTCTCTCTGTCCTACTCCTCCTGGTTCCCTGTCCTGTTTCCCTTTATGCAGATGTTTGTTTGGGTATTTACTTCCATGTTTCTAAGTAAACGATTTATGACATCTGTTGACTTTCCATTACAGAGGATGAGAGGTTTTCCTTTTGTGTCACTTTTACTTTCCAGGTACCTCTCCTCTCAGTATTGTTACATCAAAAGTCTAAATCAAAAACCAGTGTCACATTATATGGTAATGTAAGAATTGCTCACTGCATAACCTAGTTGGCACTCTGATTAAATATCCTCTCCTACAAATTTTCTTTTGTTGTTCCTAGAGCTAATTGGTTTGACTTTTTAAAAATTGGTTTTGTTTTCTCTGTTCATAACTTTAACACCCCTCCACACCCCACATACATACTCTGTATCAGGTTTTTCAGAATATTTCCCAAATGGTCAAAATATCAGACCAATTATTAATTTCTTTTTTTCTTGGAGATTGATATCTTAGACCTTTCCATCTTGCTACTCTAATGTGAACTGGTTTTTGCTTCTTTGGGCTGTCTTTTCACCATATTCCAGGACTTTCCTTGGGTTCTGTCCATTGTATTATTGAATTTCATGGGTTTTGCTGGACCACATCCAAAAATAGCTTTACGTGAAAGGGTCTATGGGAAGTAAAAACCTTACATGTCTGTCTCAAATTTTTTTAACTTTTACACTTAATTTTTTTTTTATTTGGTTGAACGTAGTTCTACACTGAAAAATAATTTAATCCTTGATATAGCAGGTATGACTCTTTTATCTAATAGAATTTAATGTTATTAGTTACTTCATAATAATGAAGACATTATTCTAGGGCTTTTATTAATGATATTCCTAGGTTCAGTTTGCTAGTAATCGTACAAATGCTACCATTTGGCAATGCGTAGGTTAAACTCTGTTGTTGAGAAATAGTTCTCCATAGTTTTCTTGCATTTTTATACATCTTGTTCTAGACTATACTTTCAAGGATGTGTGTACAGCAACCAACCTTAGAAGATAGGCATTGTGTCTCCATCCATAGCAATGAGCAGGCATGCTTTCTGTCTATATAAAAAATTTGGGTTCCCTAAATTCAGATTTCTTCTGTGTGTGCCAGTGTCTCCTGGCCCTCTACACATCACCTTGTGATAATTTGAGGAACCAGTAAATGAAAGGTTGGTACTCTAACTAGTGCTATTGCTGTAATAAACTGTCTTTCATCTCTGACCCAGGAGTCTTGTTTCTTCTGCTAGCATCCATGAAGCCATGGTAGGTTAACTTATGAGATTTCAAGTAGGGTAAAATCATAGACCCTTCATAGTTCTTGACATCTGTTTTCTCTGAAAGTTTCCTCAACTGGTAATCCATAGTGTTTGCCTCCTCTTGCCATTTACTTGATTGTACACAGTATTTAGTTGTTTACATATTTTTAATGTGTTTTCTCATTGCAAAGGCATTTTACCATGAAAGTATTTTGTATGTAGTAAAGCACAACAAATACTGGGTTTTACGCAAGTTTCTAAAATGTGGATAATACATTCTGTATTTAATTCATAGGTAATATGTTTAATATTACATTGTATTGCAAGACACAAAGTATGAATGGATGACGACTATATACTCTTAAACTGTCTCATAGTTGTGTAACATTACCCTAAAACATTTGAGGTGTGTTTTATATGTCATGTATTTATTATTTATTCCCCTTTTAATAACAGCTAATATTTAGTAGGCAATTACTGTGTGTCAGGCATATCTTATTCTTCTCAGTATTCCTAAGAAGAAGATTCTTTTATTTCTATTTTATAGAAACAAGGATAGAAATAATAGAAGGGCTATATAACTTGCCTAAGGATATAAAACTGGCACATGGTAGAATTGGCGTTCAAACCCAGTTCTGTTTAATGCTCTAATCTGAGCTCTTAACCACTATACCCTTCTATAAAACGGAGAGAGAGGAAAGAATTAAAAAACTATATTGACTCCTGGAATTTTTTAACACTGCATAGTTTAAATTAATACTATAGACCTTCAATATTGACTTAACATGAATAGTACTGAGATTCATTTACAGTAGTCCCCCTTATCCACAGTTTTGCCTTCTATAACTTTAGTTACCCATGGCCAACAGCAGTCTAAAAATATTAAATGGAAAATTTCAGAAATAACACAATTCATAAATTTTAAGTTGTGTGTCATCATACTTTGTCCCCCTTGAGACATGACTCACTCCTTTGTCCAGTTTCTCCAGGCTGTATGAACATCCTGCCCATTAGTCACCTATCAGATCGGTTACAGGGAGGGGTGGGGGTGGGGGTCCACATTCACATAACTTTTATTACAGTACATTGTTATAATTGTTCTATTATTATTGTTAATTCCTTACTGTGCCTAATTTATAAATTAAACTTTATCATAGGTGTGTATGTATAGGAAAAAAACAATATGTATGGGGTTTGGTGCTCTCCATGGTTTCAAGCACCCACTGAGGGTCTTGAAATGTACCCGCTGCAGGTCAGGGGGTGTCTACTAGACTATGGTTATAATGGAATTCAATATGTTACTCTTGCTAAAAGTAATTATGTTCAGTCACAGGTAGTTAAAAGTATAAAACAAAATAAAGCACTGTAGGAGCTGATATTTACACATCTAGAAGTGGGCAAATTCTAAGTTGTGGTATCCACAGCAATTGCAGCTCTGCCTCAGGGCAGTGAATGTTGCTATCTAAACTGAACACTACATGCAGCTTCATGAAATAATATTCCACAGCTTTTGGGGGCCTGATAATGGCTGCTGTGTGAACAGTGAATGTGTAAATGACCAGTTACTGTTTTATCACTGTAGTTGGGGACATCTCATTTATGTGGTGCTTCCTAGTGCAACACAGGTGTTTCAACTGGTTAACACATCGTGGTGGCATTTCAGTAGTGCCTAAATTGTTAGCGAATCCTGAAACAAAATGTCCTTAACTTGTAAGATTATCTTTATGTTTTCCATCTGATTTATAAACAGTTGCTTTGCTCTCCTCCCCTATTCCACTCCCAAAGGAAAAGCATAATTTTGGGAATTGTTTACAGTCAAAGTGTGGTTTTTAGGCAGGTTCAGTTAACTTTTGAAATATATTATATGCTGGTGCTTAAAAGAGATAAATGACTAAGAAGTGCATATGAGAGCCTCTCAAAACACAGGATCATCAATCTTAAAGTAGTTTGGCTCCATGCGGTGCCCGCCATTGAGGACTCATGGAGCCCATCTACAACTCATAGAAAAATGCATTCATTCAGCTTCTTATTTTGGTAAATTGTCAGAGGAAATGCCAGTTAGACATTATCAACTGTTCTGCCTTGACTTAATATTGCTTCAATAATTTGAAATATTGTTTGATACTGACTTGAACTTATAACCTTTGCTTGTCATTTTGTTGGTTGATGTCTGTTGACAGCATATACATTTCTACTATCGGTCTCTCGAATACGTAACTACAAATATAAAATTTTTCTCTCATGGTGGACTCTCATGTAGATAGTTTAATGATTTCACGTCAAACAGTAATTATAAATCACTATTGTCTAATTCATGTAGAGAAAGGATAAACCTAACAAATTAAATGTATATAAATTATAAACATACACTTCTAAGAAATAGCTTAAGTAAATTTTATTTTGTTGTATTTAGAAATTTATTACCCCAGAGATTCCTAGGGATAATTTTGTTTTTATCAGCAAGGTATTTACAGAGTACCTACTGGGTGCCAGACACAGTGGATCCATGGCGAAGCCCACATGAGCCACTGTACTTGGAGATTCTGAGTCATTTCTAAATATTCTAAGATCACTGATATCAGTCAGGCATGTTTATCATTATTCAAATGATCCTGAGAAGCCAAACTAACTGTTATTGAACCCCTTAACAAACAGACAATGACTAAGATTATAAAGTAAGGCATATTCTTCGGTGACATTTCATTTATTTTTATGAACCATCACATTTATTCCACCTAGCACCGTTTGGAGTACCAGCATACTTACCCAATCCCAGTTTCTACAACATGTTGGAACATAATTTTTTAATCAAATATTGCCTTTGTAAAAGTAATGATAACAAAGGTAGGTATTGATTATGTTGCTGTGTGTGCCTTTCCCTCTGCTAGGGCCTTAAAAGAAGTAAACGGAAGTGGTTCTTTATAACTTAAGATCTTGATGCATTTACAGATAACTCTAAACAGTTAATTGGCTCAGGGTAACTTTATATGAAATTTCATAGGATGAAGGATTTGAGTCAAGGATTGTACTTACTGCATACTCATTTTGACAAGTTGTGTTAGTAGAACTGAGGAACTGACAAATATGACTTTGAAGATTTTCATAGTCATTAAAATTTATAATGGTCTCAACTGTTTAGTAAAAATTTTAAACATGCATCCTCTGTGTCATGCACATTTATTTATTAATATAACATTGTAGTAACCTATAATTACTTCCTAAAACATACACCAAAAAGTAAAGTAAAAATAGGAATGTTAACATTAAGTAGAAGTTCTAATTTTTTTTTTTTATCACAGTGGTATCTTGTTTACCTGCTGGGATATGCTAACTCAGGAGATTATTGTTTTAAAATGCAGCTTTTCATATACACAAACCCATCTTATCATTAAAGGCCATCGTCTCTAGATGAAAGACTTAATTATAACATGATCATAATGGCTATTAGACTTCACTTTTATCCGGTTTTCTTTCACATTATAGAAATAAACCTAACTCAAAGTGTACTTCTCTTTGTTTTGTGCCATCCAGGATGAGGATGGGACAGAAGAAGACAACAGCCGTGTTGAACCTGTTGGACATGCTGACACTGGTTTGGAAAGCATACCCAGCTTTTCTCTGGAGTAAGTTACTGATGGTTTTAATTAAACTTGTAATATACATATAGCATCACTGCTACCAGCAAGTATTCCAAAAGCGTGTGGCGTGTGGAATGTTCGTGCTGAGTTAAAAACAATGCCTTGCATTGGTTTTTTTGTCCAGAGAGCATCTTTCATCTATTGAGTTAATTATCTAATGTAAAAAGAATAGCATGGAAATTCACATGTACCTGTTCTGAGTTTCGTGCCTTGGCAAATACTATTAAATTATAATATAAAATAGTATTTGATTGAAAATGTTTGTCATGTTAACAGCACTGTAACTGTTTTCAGATTGCTTTCTGTCAGTATTTTGATCATTCGTTTGTTCTTCAGCTTTGCTAAAAAAAAAATGTAGACATACTTTACTTGACAAACTAGTTGGATCATGTAAGCACTAGCCATTTTAGTATATATATTTTGATTTGAGAAAATAGAACCTCTCAAAATATTTCATGAAAAATTAGAGGTCATTGGTTAGGAACCTTGAATGTGATTTTAAGTATAAAAGGACAAAGTAAAACTTCCCTATGTTATCAGAACTGTACAATTATCTTAAAATTGGCATGTTTAAATGGAAAAGGTTTTTAGAACTTCTCTTGGTAGCTTAGATCAGAGAGGGTAGTCATTCTGAACTTTTTCTTTGATTTTGGGCAAAAGTTAGAGGATCAAGATTAACATTTGAACTCTTAATTGTCTTCTTTTAGTTTTCTCAGGAAGGCTGTAAAAACTTCCTCAGTGAGATTAGGCTCTAGAATCAGATTATGTTTGGATATATAAATATATTTAAATACTTACTATGTAATAGCTCCTTTTAGAAAGCATGTAGAATAAAAAAATTATTAAAGTAACCATACTATTCTTAGTTGACAAACCAATCATTAAATAGATGTTTAAATAGTATTAAATATATCTAAAGTAGAATTATAAAATAATATGAAAATATAAAAAAATTTAAATTCCATTTAAATAATGTTACCTTAGTATGGCGAAATTTTTTATTTTGTCCTAATTTGTATATGTGATTAAATCTATGCACCCTTTCAGTTTTTTTTTTTTTATTTGTTTAATCTCTCTGTCTCTTTAATTTTCTTCAGATCAGGACATTCATAGTATATAGGATAACCCCAGGTTTTTATTTAGGAAATACAGTTGAAGAATTGGCATTTTACATTATATAAAAATTATTCTGTGACCTTTGTTAAGTTTATTAGTATTTATTTATGGTTGCCCAGGTTGCTTAAACTAGATATTTAATTAAAATGCTGTTTCCAAATATTGATTGTTAGATAAGTATTGCTTAGTTTTCTGTGCAACACACAGACATCTATAAAGAGTGAAATCTCATTTAAATGGTTTAGAAAATTTACATTCTTTAAAGTACATCAATTTTCATTAAACTTGGGCTTATTGTATTAATAATAAAGTACTTTAGTCATGTAATAGAAGTAACCTCATGTTACTTCATATATGTAACTTCATGACTTTAAAGTTCAATTACAAACACTTTTTGAACATAATTTGGTTTTTAGTGGATATCTGTTCCCTTTGAGAAAGCAATTTCATAGCCTGCACTTGTAGCAATTTAAGAAATGATGACTTTGGATTGTAGTCGAATGTGGGGAGTAAGGACAGTTGGGTCACATCTGCAACTGCCCCCTACAGGAGCAAAACTTTGACCTTATTGGGTTATGGATGAGACATATGTAGACGAGCACTTTGTAAATTATAAAGTGCTTTGTAGTTGAATCACCTTTATTCAGTTGATCTTCATTGTTCTTGAAGAATATATTGGGATGGAAATTTTTCAGTGGAAGTCTAGAGATTAGACTTGCAAAATGTGTGCTTGTGTGACACAGAAGAGTGTGGTCCAAGAGAAATGGTTCTATGTCATTTTTAATGTAGTTATCTCTGACGATTGCTCTCCCTCCATGCCATCAGACTAGTGTTCAGGTATGTAGTGTTTAATGTTGCCTTCATCACCATGCTTATATTCCAGAGTGTGTACGTACACGAGTGTGTGCTTGGTGGGATTTTTGTTTTGTTCACTTTTGGTGTCTGTTGTGTGTCTGTGTTGTTTTTTTTTGTTGTTGTTCGTTTTGTTCTGTTTCAATTTGGTTTGTTTACAGTCCATGTTCATGCTCCCTCATTCATCATTGTCTCACAGTGATATGGTAAAGCTCGTACACGTCCCCAACGATGGAGGGCCTCTGGGAATCCATGTAGTGCCTTTCAGTGCTCGAGGCGGCAGGTAACGTATCTTGGAGGTTTTTAATTGAATCATAATGTGGAGTGTTTTATCTTCATTTATGCTTGGCTGTAGAGTGGTGTTGATTTAGCATATGCTTAATGGAAATGTTTTCATTTGGGGCAACTGCCACTTCATACGTATACATCACGATCACAGAAAGCACTTAGGCTGATGAACAAATTGAGCATTTAAATTATTCTAATAATTTTATTGTTCATCACATCTGTGCAGACATTTTACTTTGCTGTAAATTGATGATGGACTTTAGAGTCAGAATTCTGGATGAATTTGCCAAGTCGAGGGAGAGCTTAAAGCAATTTTCTCAAAAAATTTATCCACTAAAAATTATCTGGATAACATAGGTAATGACTCATTTTAAATTCATTTTTATGATTAGTTTTTTAATTTTATAAGATTTTTATGTTTATGTTGGACATTTTTTAAAAGTTAGACAAGTTATGATTTATTTCCTATCATGTGGCTTGTGGCTCCTTCCCTTTAATCTCTGCACATTGAAACGTCAAAATTTTGTACTGTTTGTTAATATGACTTCATTACTTGATAGGCCACATATCCTTAAGAACTTAAAATGCTATATGAGTTTCTTTTATTCTGCTGCTTTTTTTCTGTGAAATAATTATTATGTTTTTAAAAAATGTATTCAAATACACATTATGAATTGATTTTTCAACTAATGGTATGGGCCTCTGTCACGGACAACAAGTGAAGTGCATCGCATCCTTCCCAAAACTATTAACCCAAGCAGGTTTACCTTGTTGAAGTTTAATCACAGCCTCATATATTTGCCTATCTAATGATTGCCCTGTGAAATACATTTACGAACTATTGGTTTCCTGTTTTGAACTTCTTTCTTTTATCATTATCATCTGTCCGTCTATCTATCTATCATCTATCTAATCTATCTAATCTAATCTCTCTCCCTCCCTTCCTCTCTCTCTCTCTCCTTTCTTTACCCTGGGAGAAGGGGAAGCTGAAAAGTTGCCTTAGACCAGTGACTGAGAACTTAGAACATGGGTTAAATTCTGGCCAAGGAATTATAAGCATATCATGAGTTGTAAAAGACATGCAATATCAGTTACCAAGCATGCAGTTAAATCATTATATTTTTTTTAACTGGTTGTTTGAACAATCATGCCACCTTCCTGGTGTATCTTCCTAACTGTGACGAGTCCACACTTCATCTCTTTGGTGGAGTACATGCTTTATGGAATGTCTGGATGCTGAAGCTGATTTACCTAGAACTCTTACTTAGGCTTGAATGTTAGTGTTAACAAAATATGAAATTCACCTTGAATTTGGGGTACTGTTAGATTCACAGAGTTGTAACTACTTTCACTTTTTTCCTCCTTCTTCTTTTTTAAATTTTAAACTCTGGAGAAACATTGAAATTTCTTTGAATAACTTTTAGTTAAACAAGCTTAGTTGTTTTCAGAATGGCTCTTTCCTTTATTTCCTTTAAAAATATAATTTTAAATAAGTTCAAAAGTTATATCTTTTTCTATTTATTTCATAAGAAAAAGTAAAAAAATGCATAGATTATAGCTTCTTAATATTAATGTGTCTTTAACTGCCTGTGAAACACAATCCATCACAAATGAGATTCAATTGTGTATGTCCCAGCTTTGAACCAGTATTTCAATGACAAACATGTTTTTGTCATTTATTACTCACTTCTTACCTCAGTGTGAAAGGATATTAGGACAAAATAAATTAATGACAAGCCTAATGTAAAAGGAGAATAATATAGAAAAATAAACCTACTGTAGATTAATTCAATAGAAAGCTTTTCACAAAATCTACCAGTTACTGGTTAGCATGGTGTGTTTAGTTTCAATATACAGAACATATTTAAGATAGACAATATCCCTTTGCAGAACTAGAAGTTGTTTTCCGGCTGAGTCATTTTTAATCCCTTTTGATTGGGTACTTAATGAAGAAAATCTCCTGAAGCTTTTCTATATAAGGGACAAAGAAATTAAGATTCCTTATAAACTCTTTATAGGCATCACCAGTTTTCATAGTGGAAAGCAGAACTATTTTGTTTTGTTTTTTTCCAGCACCTGTGTTGCATCTTTAAGCTTCTTCATGGACTTGATAGTAAAGGTACTTCAGAGTCAGGTTGACAGTGGGAGAGAAAAAGTTGGCAGGCTGCTCAGAATCATAGATACCAATGTTCAAGAGTGAGAAACACCCATCTCCCTTCTTCTTAGAAATGCTTCCAAGTGGATTCTTCGCATTGAGTTAGATATCTTCCCGAACATTTGCCATGTGATCAGTTCTGTGCCAGGTGCTAGGAAACAAAAGTGAACAGGACACAGTCTTTCTCCAGAGTTTTGCAGTCAAGGTGGAGTGATAGCCAAGAAAGCAAACAATTATATTATGTGATAAATGTTAACATATAAGAGCTACTCTGTGAGCTGATAGAGGAAGTGCTATCTGAATTAGGTAACTAAAGCTGGCTTGTGGGGGAAGTTGATTTTAAATGTGATGATAGCTTATAAGGGGAACCACATCAGCTCCATGGTGGTGGCAAGAGCAAATTAAGCAATTCAGTATAGCAGAAAGGAAGAAATTAAGTAGAACTCCTGACAAAATTGAATATGTATTTAGTGGGAATACGAAAATATACCTTCATGAGATATAAGTTGAAGTTTCCAAAAATAACTTCTCTTGTACAAAATTCCAGTCATTCTTGGGCCTTCCCAATTTTGGAGATATAAATAATTGAATAACACTTACCGAATACTTACAGGCATACAGCAGGTCCTCGGATAACCTCGTTTTGTTCAATGCTGTTTTTGTTATAATGTCAATGAGATGCAGTAGGAACTAAACTTGTTTATATCAGTTGGCCTGTGGTAAAATTGATTTCATTGTATGTCATTTCATTGCAGTTCTAAGAATTTATTGATGATGTTAAGTGAGGACTTACTGTTCTTTGTTTTATTGCACTTTGCTTTAGTGAGTTTTGCCGATACTATTTTTTACAAATTGAAGATAAAACTCTCCCCTGGCAAAAAGATTATGACTTGTTGAAGGCTCAGATAAATGTTAGCATTTTTTAGCAATAAGGTGTATTTAATTAAGGTATGCACATTGATTTTTAAGACAATGCTATCGCACACTCAATAGACTACACAGTACAGTATAAACATAACTTTTGTGTGTACTGGGAAAGCAAAAAATTTTAGTGGCTTACTCTGTATTGTGATATTCTCTTCATTACAGTGGTCTAGAACTGAACCTGCACTATCTTGGAGCTGTAGCTATAATTTTATAAAAGTGACACATGTATATTAATGTTACTTTCTTATTTAGCTTTCAAAGTCTCAAAGTCTAAGGAACAATGCAGAATTGGGATTACATATCGAAAACTGAAGCAACACAATGCAGAACATCTTGAATGTCAAATATAATTCAGGAAAGTAAGAAAAATGTGAAGTCAGTGTTAGAAAAAATTTTAAAGCTACTTAGCTATAATTATGGCCTGAGGTATAATGAAGTTTATTAAAATAAAGATCTTGCTGGACCTACATAAAGAGGCTGCTTTCTAGACTAGGTTGGATGTTGTTCCTTGAATGGGATGTCAGTGACAATTGGCATGTGGTTGCTCATTCCCTAACCACTGTCTCAAATCCCTAGAAATGGAAACAAATAGATACATAGAAAAGACAGCATTATATTCCCCCCCGATGCTGTTTCTTTTTAGTCATTATCTTGTATGTTATTTAAAAATAACGAACTGTTTTCCATCTAAAACTCCTTATTCACAGTTTTATTACCTTGAAATCAGTTTTCACTTCACATATATAATTTCTTTTCCTCCTGATTTAAATGTCAAACATAACTTCCTTATTTAAATCACAGATGTTACTACTTTCAGTAAGTAAATAATTGTCATTTCCTATGGCAGAAAAACCATGTTTTTTATATTTTTTTATATTTCTATAACTTGGCTCATAGGTATTGCTCAGTAAAGGAATGAATGAACCTGTGACTCTCCATATTAGCTGTGGCATTATTATATTAGAAATAAAAGAAGGTCATATCCTGGCTTTATAGCTGTTAATGCGTTTACCTGAGGCTTTCTAATCACATAGGAATATGATTTTGATATAATGTTAAGTATTTAAAAAGGAAGATATAAAGTCATATACAGAAATAGCGGTTAGGCTTATGAAATTATAAGATTTTATGTTTAGTTTTAAGAGAATTAAAGTCAAATTGAGAAATATGTATATGAAAAGAGCCATGCTATATGTCAGAACTCTATGCATCTGTGCCACAGAGATTTAGAGGAAGTAGGACTATTGAATTTTGGATACTATACAAACCCTTAGTGAAGCAATGGAACTTGATCTCTTCTTGGAAGGAAATACAGGAATTATGCTAGTGACATTCTGGAAGGGTATTCTTTCCAGGAAGAGGATATATGAAAGGAAGATGCTACATAAAAATGAACATGACTGGTTAGAAGTAATGAGTCATTGATTTGAAGCAGAATGTGTTATGTGTTGGAAGATGGCACTGGAGATTGTTAGAAATCACTTTATGAATGGCCATGAGACTGCATTCAGTACATAATGGAGAAATTACTGAAGTTCTTCTTGAAATATGGCTGCATTACTTTTTAAGTCACTATTATTCTTCTGCTTGGACTCCACAGTCTAACTTATAGTAGATATTCTAAACCTTTTCCCTATGGAAATAAGTATGGCTAAAGCCTGTCATTCTTAATAAAGTGCAGTCATCCTCACGAGGTCTTTTCTGTAGTGACGTTTACCATTTATATACGCTTTGCTTCTATTTAAACCTGCAGCCCTTGGAATTTTCTTTCACAGTGAATTTTCTTTCACAGTAAATTTTCTCATGCACAGAGTTGTTATATGTTTGGGTTTATTTTATTAAGCACATTTTAAAAAGATCTAGACTCTACCAGGCACCATTCTTGGTCTAGGCGTACTCTGTATAAAGGATTG